TCTGGATTGTTGGCATCTTCTGTGGATCAACGTCATTATCAAACTTCACAAGAAAGAAACTAGATGTGGCTTTTAGGTGTTTGAAACTTGGGGAAAAAAGTTCAGTTTTATTAGGTTCTTGTAGAGTTCATAACTACCTGCTCTAGACAGAAACACCAAAACCAAGAAGAAGCTCAGCTGGGGTTGGAAGCATCTGTTTAGTTGTAAAAAGAAATGAGAGAAATAGCCTTTTACCACACATACACATACATGTTAAAGTTAATGCATTAGAGCAGTTGATTCTTCTATATACCGATTTCAGCAAACTAAGACTGACTTGGTATTTCTGCTTGAAATAATTTTCTGAAGAGAATACGGTGAATTGATGGTCAGCAGAGCTTTAAACTATACTAGACGTTTTGGCGTCACTACATGAATTAGTCTCATCCAATGTCATTGCTGGTCTCCTCTACAAGTAGATACCATCAGCTATATCATGTCTGTCTTCTTCACCCTTTGCCTTTGTTCTGCTCCAAGTCAAATACGCATTGTATAATAGCTTTACATAACTACACATCTTACTAATACACCTTTTCTATAAAGATAGTACTTGAATATCATTGACTTTGTATTAAGTTGCTGCTCCAACCAATGTTAGACTAACCTGTTGCCTTTCTGTCCGGATTCTCAATTCCCTCCCTTTTCTCTCAAACCTCAGAATTTTTTATTAGGGAGTTTTTAAAAACGCATCAGTCAAATTACATATGAAAAAAATAAATGCTTATCAGATGCGTTGCAGCAGTGCTGTAGTGCTACATCTGAGTGAAAATGTTTAGACCAAGTCTATTTCTCCTAAGGTCTATAATTGATGCTTTTTATCATAATCTAGCTTAGTAAATGATTACTGTCAAAATAACCCTAAACAATCCATATCTAAGAAGTTTTTATCCTTTTCCTTCTTGTATGCCCCTCCCCCATGATGTGAGCTTAGAATGTGTGTTGGGAAAGTGGGGGAACCAATACCAAGTAGAGAAGTGAAGGAGCAGAGGGCACATGTTATTGATCATTAACATGCCCAAACAGCTGATAAATGCAGAAATGGCTGATCAGAAATTATCATCACACCCCAGCCTGTAAGCGTTGGTGTAGTATGCCTGGCTGCTGCATCTGCTCACGGCAAGCAGGGGCTCCTGCAGCTGCAAAGGCACCAATTTTCCAGTTTCCCAGAAGGTGATAGATGGCAACAAAAAGCTTTTGCAGCACAAATATTTTTGTCTTTTATTTTAAGTGCTGGTTTCTTTCCCCAGTAAGTCATTTTGCCCGAGTACCATGTCACCTGCATCATGTTTGAGAAACGCATAATCTGGGATTGTGTTGTTTTTTTCTGTTGTTTTGTGTAGGAGTGCTGCCTCCCCCACTGTATTCCTGAAACTCGCTCCTTGTTTGTAGGGACTGAAACATAATGCGTTTATTATGTGTGTTAAATAACTGTACATGGTTAAAATATATATATATAGTTTTTAGGAAATGATTGACCATTTAAACTACTGGTAATGTATGTATTACTCAAACAGAACACTTTCACATTTATTTGTAGATTAAAAAAAATACACATTTCCCAAAGTTTTGCCTTTTAATGAAAAAAAAACTTAAACACAGAACTTTAGGAAAGAAATAACTTTTTTTGTTCAAATTTAACTCGACATTTAGTCTGATTATGTTGTAGATATCTAAATAATTACCCTTATGATAATAATAAACAAAATAAGTTACCAATCGATGCTTAATATTTATTCTAAGTCAAAAATGCAGTTTTAAAGCAACATGAGTTCCTGTTAGGGTTATCTTTTCTGGTGTTTGTATTTTTATTACTGCCACCCACTGGACTGAAGGCGTGGTGGAGTTTTCTTAACAGCTCCTCTAGAGGATATATAAAGCTGATTTATATCTGCTGCCTTTCAGAACAAAGGATGATGGAAGCACACGAATTGCTGGGGATTCATTTTACCGGGGTAAAAAAATCTTGTTGTTCTCATTGGAAAAGGGGCTAAAGATAACATTTCTAACTTGATCCAACGGTGAGAAGGATTTTCAATGCTCAAAAGCATTCTTATTAATATGGCAACTTTTTACAGCAACGGTTCTTTCAAAATAAAATTGTAAAAAAATATATCCAATTTTAACATTGTTACATTGTATGGTGTTAATTAGGGGCTAATTGTTGATATCACTTATAGACATTTAGACAAAAAATTCTGGTACATACAAAAAAGATTTTTACAATTTACAAATAGTTAATTTTCTGTGTTTCTGTATATTTTTGCATTAGCTGTGGTATCCGCTGTTTAAATAATGTGGTCACACATTCTGCAAATTCTTTTAATAACAAACATTAGAATCATTGAGAGGGATGTATTGATTCTTACGCTGCTTTACTATTTCCAATGAAGCCAGCCATAAGTTATAGGATGCCTTTCTGTATTTAATCAAACTTTACGTTAGAATGAGTTTAGGTGTGGTGTAGAATTTGAGAAAACATTGAAGTTGTGGGCACTCAGTCCATAACACTATAAATGGGCTTTTCCTGCGGATCTGTGTCATAGCAAAAATCCCTCTCATAATGCCTATGCTTTTGCTTTTTCAAATACAGCTTATGTACGTGTTTTCTGTACTAGAGAAGCTTTAAACTCCAAACAAGAGCTACATAGTGATTATTGTTCACCTAAGTGGCTATATGCGTGTTAAATGCTGCAGTGTGAAGCAATGGGCCCCAACTCATGACTCAGTTTTAAAATCAGTTCACACATATAATGAGCATTTTGGAGAGAAAAAAACAGTGGTTTCTATGTTGATTTCCTCAACATCAGTTATTTTAACAGCCCCAGTGACAAAAAGTTGGACTTTAAATGTTCATTACTTTTAAAGAGTAGTTTCTGTAAGGATCTTTTACAAGGATATCAGTATAAGTGGGGCTAAATACAAATGCTAGACCCATCACTTTATGTTGGGTTACAATATTTTGGTTGGAACATGTCAAAATATGAAACATTTTAAGAGATAGGAATGCTTTTGTACGATCTTTCTGAGGTCTTGGTGAACTTTTTCAATTTTTCACATTCTTTTAGAAGGGAAAGAATTTGAAAGGCACTTTCCTTATACACTCATAAAAAAGTAATCTACATAAAAGTTTGAAAGAAAAATTACAGTTTAACTGTTGCCAGGGTTTTTTTTTTTTGTTTGTTTCTTTTGTCAAATGTAACCTGCACCAGTATCTTTCCTATTTTATAACCATTTTGAATAAAAAGCATCACTCTTGTTATTGGGGAACAATGAGCCTATCTACACTTTTTGCTATGTCTGGGCATGGTCAAAATATATCCCCAACTAAATAAAACACATGAGCAATCCCTAGATACTAACATGTAAAGTTTATCCCTAAACTGAAACCTATTCTGCTTTTATCAAGAAAACCAGGCAGACTCATTCATTTGGCAAGTCTTTTAAGGATATAAAACAAGCCTAAATTACGATTTCTCAAGTAAATGCACATCTGTAAACTTCAATGCCCTGAAATTAAGGATCATATTTATTTTTCAAATGCAGCATAAAGCTGTCGGCAAAAAACAGAACCTCTGGATGAAATTTGCATGATGAAAAACATAAAGCTATCTTTAGATTTATTACAGCTCCTTTATCTCACTGACATGCAGCCATGCAGAACCGGTGCACAAACAGAAAGTAAGACTTTGACGAATGCTGGCTCAGCAGAGCACTCATTGTGGGAGGATTGTGGGAGATTGAGTTTACAGATGAGTCAAGGAGACCCATTACACTTAATATCAGTATGAATGACCTGGTAGTCTATGTTTAGTTTCCGTGTGGGAATCAAACCAACATCTGCTCAGTTGTTGCCTTCGTATTTCTGCACTGAGAAAGACAGACGATACATGTTGTTTGCTCAACTTTAGGTTACATGTGAACTTGGCATTGTAAAGATAAAAGATCACACTAAATCTAAATATTGAAGGTTGTTAAATTGTTGTGTTACACACAATATATTCTAGCCTCATATTGGATCTCTTAGTTTTCTAGAAAATGCTGAGAATCTTTGAAGTGATAGAGAGGACTACAACAAGAGAGTAAAACTATTTCAGCTTGTTTGCATTAACAGCTGCATGTCTGCTGTACATAATCAGTTGAAGTGTCCCATTACACAAAATGAGACTCTTGAATAGATCGAGATATAGCTATTCTTTCGTCTGACACAGTTATTTTTCCAGCTAGCGTTACTATGATTACCACCAGTCTGCTTGTGTCAGCAGGCTGATAGTATGATCACTGCTTCTAGCGTTGTTAACATTTCTGACAGCTAACCTCTTTTCTGTCTTTTGGCAGTGGTTCAATAAGCCTGCAGTGCTGTAACCATCCTTGCAGATTGTATCTCATCAACAGGACTCTCAAAGTCGTCTCTGGCAGTGAATACAAAGCAGCCCTGCATTAAAACCATTTTCAAACAATCTCAAAAGATTTGTTCTGGCAATTTATTTGTATTGACGTTTAAATTGGGACATTAAAAAAAAAGGTGACAAAGCTTTTAAAAGTTTCACTCTTATTTTGAGCAGTTGCCAGGTTAGTAATTCAACAGCTGCATATGCTGATGAATAATACTGTGTAATTTTGATTGTATGACTTAGTCAGATATCAATTAGATGAGTGTGCTCAGAGCTTACAGGTGCACTTGAGTCGAACTCTGTGGAGTCATGGTCAGGAGTAATCTAAGCTATCTAGTGGTATTCTTGATGGTTTTTGCAGGGACTGAGTCCAACAATCTGTCATGTGCTTTACCTTTTGCCCCAACACTCTTAATCCTACTTTATCTTGCCAGTCATGCAAACAAAGGCATAGGCAACTTTTAAGGGCTCACTTGATTCCTGCATGATAAAAGTGACTCCAAAAACGTCAGCCGATGACTGATGATGTGTGTTCTTTAAGTGTCATAAAGAAAAATCAGCAGTACAGACCTTTAAATGCAACTCAGCAGTTTCTCAGTTCAGTAGTGCCATTGTCTGCTTTCCAGTCCTTGCTCTTACGGTGCACCGTTAAATGAATGAGTTCATTTACTGTAAAGATAAAGAGAGAGAAAGGTAGACGGGTTAAGAAAGCAAATGGTATTAAAACAGTCATAGGCATTTTGTTTTTCTGCCACTTTAAATGGCAGCTCTCAAGAAATGCAGCCCTGTTAAAAAAAAAAAAAAAAAAAAACACACACACACAAAAATCCCCAAAGTAACACCAGAAAAATGTGCATAAATGCTTTACTGTAACAGGTAGTTAAAGAGGACAGCTGGTCTGAAGTGATTTGAAACACTAAAGCAAAATACAAGTTATTTAGCATTACTTGACACTGTATCTTTAGATAATTTTTCCACCTACAAATGGTTATAAAATCCAGCTTTAGTTTCTTAGCAAAAATATTACCACTTCAAATCAACCTGCGTGCTTGTCAGCCATCCCTAAATTCCAGACAGACAAAAAGTGTACAAAATGTTAGTTTGTTTTTTTATTTTTCATTTTGAGCACCCGAATTTAGAATTAAGTTCCAAAAATATGGACTTCAATATATGAAGCTAACTTTAAGTCATAAGATCGGGGTTTTTTTTAAGTAACAGGAGTTATATGGTCAAAGCCAAAATTTCTTATCCTCTTTTTAAACTCAAAAACACTAAAGCCCTAGATCCACACATTCTAAACCACACCTCAATAAAATTGTTAAACCCCCTTATCAGCATGTCATTCATCTCTGAAGAGGCTTTATAAGGCATAAATAAAAAGGCTCATAAAGTTAAAAAAGGAACACTGAGGACACGGACTCTTCATGACTGGTTTGATTGAGTTAAATGCAGATGAAACATAAAGACACTACAGGAATCCTGTGCAGTATTTGTGCATTCTGTTTGTACTCAGATTCTGATCTCCTATTAGGACATTTATACTAAATCCCTTCTGAAAGTGGGGAATCTGTCTGAGAGTCAGGACAACAGAGCCATGGCAGAATTCCACCCTCACGAAGGTTGCTACTTGCATCAACAGGAGAAATTCTGTCTTTTTACATGATATTTAGTCAGGCTTAAAACATACTACTTTCCATTATGTTTAAACTCTGTTTTTATGTGGAAAAGACTATGTAGAACCATTGTGATAATTGTAACAGTGAACGAAGTGGCCTTATAGGCATAATGGGAAATAAAGCAGGGAACTAGTAGTTGAGATTCGATCACTTCAACTTCCAGGTACCAGTTACCAGTACAACTGTTAAACATGGCATGCTGGAGATTTCAGGAAGCAGATTACCACAGCTCCATGTATGCATCCTCTTTTTCTCTAAACTTAATTGCATTCCTTGCATTTAAGGGAATATTCCTGCATAGATTCAGAGCTTCTTGATTTCTGCAGGCCTTAGGTTAAAAAAAGACCATCCCCTAAAAGCTTTGGGGTTGATTCTAATGCTGCAAAGAAGGGAAAATCTTTGTCTAGATTCCTTTAACAATCTGCAGGATTGCATCTAACCTGGTTACATGTTTCAGAAATTAGGACATGAAGAACAAAATCTGTGGATTACGCTGCTACTATGCTGTTTGGTGAGGACAACTCAAGATGAACATGGGTTGTTAAAAATCAGGGGTAAGTAACAGAGAATCTGGCTTTACACTGACTACTTTGAACTTTTGTTTATAGGTGAGAGCAGTTATTCATAAGTTAAAGAATTAAATCACACATTAATAAAAAAATTATGCTTGATCAAGATTTTGCCCTCTTGAACTTAGATTGTGTCCTTAATATTTTTAAGAGTCCTTACATGTTCAGTGCATACATTTCTGTGGTAATTTAAAGTAAAAATGAATCTGTCTCTATGTCCATTTCTCTCTTTAATTCTGTCAGACAAGCATACCCCGTCAGACGAGCATACCCTTAGTCAATACGCATGTGCAAGATGTCAGATTTGCATACGCATATGCTAGTCCCGATTATCTCTTTAGTTTTGTACGAAAAATAATCTTTAAACTAAAACACCTAATAGCAAGCAAGTAAACTGTTTTTTGTACATAACTAAAGGAATACATGCCAGTTGAGGTAGTTTAAAGTGTATTTTTCGTACAAAACTAAGGGGACAAACTAAAGGGATAAACAGTTAGTGTTAGAAAAAAAATAAAAGTATTAACTATGAGTATGCTGGTCTGACGGGGTATGTTGATCTGACAGAACACCGGACTTTTTGAAATTATTAACTCTTTTTTTGTCAACAAGGTTTGATATCTAAGTACTTTTCTGGACGACAGCCTTACCAAGAGGCAAACACAACCTGATCTTAATCACCTTTATTTTTATATTAAATGCTAAACCTTTTAAAACATTAAATAACATGACTACTAGAGACTCTCTTTTTTCATTTAACATGCCCTTTTCTGAATGCTATCTCCCTACCAGAGCCTTTCCATCCACTCATATCAACCCCTGAGAATTTGCCATTAATAACTTTTTGCTGCGTTTGGGCTATAACATGTGCAACAGTTTGTCTGCTGTTGGTGAACAATGGAAACACTTTCCAGCAGAACAATTCTGTGATTTTACGAGGGGGAATAGACACCCACACTTCCATTTACTGCAACTGTTTTTCTACTTTGTCACAAGGAGAGTGCCTACATGTCTGAGCACACGTAGAGGGATGGTAAATGCCACCTAGAAACATAAAGATGAATAGCTGACTGTTTTCTTTTGCATTTGATCAACATTTCCACTGTGCACTAAATTGCATTAACTGTGATTAACTTAAGTCAGCTAAGATGGAGCTCACAAAGTTACATCTGATTTTTTTTTTCCAAACAGAAAAGAAACAACTGCAAAAAAAAAGAAATATTTCATAAATGTGTAAAAAGAATTTAAAAAAAAAAGCTGTTTTAAAAGGGATTGCGTCCAAATCCCATTCCTTATAGTTACTACAGCACTAAATTTGCCTCCAGATATATTTGTCTTTCATCCCTTTCCCTCCCTCCCTGCAGCTGTGTCGTCCTCTTCTGTTCCTGGGAGCCTGGGAGCGTCCGGACAGGGCCATCGTGACTCAGCCCGGAGAGGATCTGACTCACCTCCTGTGGAGTCTCAACACTTAATTCCCATGAAGGTGTTGCACAGAGATGGTATTGTGCGTCTGATAAGCCAGACATAAAACTGACAAGGGGGAATGACAGGGGGGGGGGGGGGGGGGGGGACACTGGATTATTTGTCTCTGAGAAAGTTTACAGAAGTTTACAGAATTGGTCCCAATTCCTTCATCATTTTAAGAACGCACTCAGGAAGTTAAACTGTACATTGATATGTGTGTGGGTGTGTGTGTGTAAGTGTTAGTGCTTGCGTGTGGTCTATGGAACTAAGGCCTAGTGTGTGTGGTCTCTGAATAATGGCTCGGTCAGACCTCCACGGATTGCCTTGTCAGACATATTTGTCATAGATTGGCTGCAGTTTAATCATTTAAAAAGATTTTTTAAGACATTCAAAGTTTCATGGTATTTACACAAAGGTTTCAAACTCTTTCAAGCATAACTGCCTTAATTTAAAACAGAGAGGGAATCATTATTTTTGCCAAAATAATGCAAATTGTTATATTCATCTCAATAATTTTAAGTTCTTTTGATTTTTGCGAATTTTTAAAAAAATCCAACCTCTCCACTCCAAAACTGCGCATGCACAACCCTGTACCCGCTCCCGAGATGGAATGCCTATTAAACATGTGCAAGAGCGTGAACGAGCCCATTTCTCCTTGTGCATGCTCTGTTTAAAAGTTGCTGTTTGCATTTGCGATTTTTCCACTATGTCAGTTTCACCACTGGAAAGTAGAAATGGGGACGAGCACGTAGGACGGCCTTACGTAAACATATCGCCAGAATGATTGACAATTAGAAGGACCACTTATTTTGATGATCCACTCCAAAAAACTATACCTTTAAGAAAAAGTTCTGACTGATTAGAGGAAGGGCTGTGTTAGAAATTAATAGAAGAATTTAATGGCAGTTATAACAACAAAATGTGTTCTATCAATGAATGTGATGTCACTAAACTTGAACATGTACATTGAGTTATTATCTCTAGAGCGTGGCAGTCACACACCTAAAAAGGTTTGATGGAATGAAAAAGAGCAACTTTTTTGTATGCTACTAGTTGATTAATAATCTATCTTCTATTGTTTGTCCATCACGTTAATAGAAGGGTCTCCGGACAAAAGGTGGGGTACACCCTTGCCAGTCCATTGCAGGGCAACATAAAGAAACAAATCACAAAATTAGTCATGTTTTTGGACTGTTTGGAAAAGCCATAGTAACAGAAGTAAACCCATGCATGCACAGGAAGAACATTTAAATACCGTGCAGAAGACGGCAGGCTGGGGATCAAACCCGGGACCTTCCTGTTACAAAGCAGCAATCCTGTGCAGCCCCTAGTTAATAATATTTTAATTGAAAAGAAAAAAATAAATTGATAAAAGAAAACATACAATTTAAAGCCACTGACTATGCAGAGCCAACTGTAAGGATAATGTTCCACAAAGATCACCTGAACAGACGCGTATAACAAAGTGTAAATCCGTCCAGGTCAGGTGGCAGGAGGAGGCCTCAGAGTTCCACTCTCTGATTGGAAACAAATACAAGCAGAAGTTTCCAGGTCACCGTGTCTGACTGACTTTCACATTAAGTCTCCAGAATAAAACTTTCACTCAGGCAGCATTTCACTGTCGCCATCCAGTCAAACCAAGAGACAAAGCAAACGCAAACTCTGCCGCAGTGTGGGAGTTAAAAATGGAAAGTGCAGCTGTTTTGCTTGCATAAACCTTCTCTGATGCGGACCGCTTCAGACAGAATTCATTTAAAATCAGTCATTTGGAAAGACAGATTAACAGAAGGTGCTTGTATACTATGAGTCAAGTGAAGGACAGTTTAAGGTAATTGAAGAAATACTTAAAAGTGTCCTAGTTTCCAATGCCACCCCTAAATCCCAGTTTGAGTTAACAATAAGCTACCGGTAGATATCTTCATGAATGCCCTAGATAACTGAATATCTGTATACAGCCTCATGAGGTATGTTAAAGGAGTGTCGTCTTTAGAAATGTAATATATACTTTATTTGCAGTTATTTTCTTATCTAGAGTAACCCTAGCTTGGTTGTATATCTGCAGCAATCAGTGCGATAGACTTTTAATGCCAACAGGCAGTAATGCACAAAGTCACACTGCATCTTTAATTATTCTCCTGCTGGGAGATGAACCTTCACCTCCATCTGCAGCTTGTAGTCACATCACCATCTATCTGAAGTCTAACCCTCTACCCCTGTAAAACAAAACTAAAAATTTCACGGTAGAGATGGCATGTTCAGATTGATGTCCCATGTTGGTCTTCACACCAAACATTTCAACTTCCTTTTTGTAAAAGGTTCAAAATAAACTTATTTTCCAATTTACAAGCCAGCACTATTTTATGCCACTTAAGAAAAGAAATCCAATGAGATTTGATTGTGATGGAAATTTTGACACAGAAAACCATCCATTAAACGGTATTCCTTTATAAAAAGCACAAGACTAAACACCTGCAGTCTCCTCTGTCATGCGAGAAAAGGAAAACTTACAATACAGCTCAAACAGTAATCACTGCACTAATACATTAACACAGCTGCCCTCAGTAACTGATCTGCTGTGTGAACCAAAAACTTTGATTGTTCTCACTGCTCCCCTCTATTGTATTTTTAAGGGAGTCTGATCAATAATGCCAGCCAAACTGAGACCCATCAACTAATCAATATATGGGAAATCCCAGGGGGCGGGGCTTTAAATGATCCCCCAATGAAATGATAATGAAGCAAAACAAAAAACAAAATCCCCTGCAGGAAGGCAGGACTGCTCCTCTAATGGGAGCTTTTGGAAAATACTGCCATCTTCTGGAGTTAAAGGGGAGCTACATAGGGACGTATCAAATTATCCTTTTCTTATCAGCATTTATTGCCACTACACTGTAACAAGTACAGAGCGACTAAATTAACTCTCTGCGTTTAACCCATCCCCTTGGAGAGCAGTAGGCTGCCATTGTGTGGCTGCCAGGGAGCAGTGTGGAATTAAGGGTCTTAACCCAGTCAGACTGTGGGAGTGGGGCTTGAACTCAGAACCTCTGGATTCCAAGCTCTATGCCCTAACCAGTAGGCCACACTTTTAAACAATAAATTTGGAATAGAATAGAATAGAATAGAATAGAATAGAATAGAATAGAATAGAATAGAATAGAATAGAATAGAATAGAATAGAATAGAATAGAATAGAATAGAATAGAATAGAATAGAATATTTAGTCTCTCAAAGAGGGGAAATGTGGCTGTTTTTCAGCAGCAAGTGAGGATCCGGTTTATATCATATTTAATAATATGTATACTAACAGTAATTTCTTCTTATGATGGCAGAATAACTGTAGTAGAAATCTTCTAAGTTGTAAAGTATGACCTGCTTGGATTGGACCCTTATTTGCTTCGTGATAGGGAGCATCCTCTAACTAATCCCACCAAACAAAATCGTTTCTAAAAGGGTGCATGTGATATGGTAAATCTTTCTAATAATTTTTTTATTGTTATAATTTAAGTGCTATCACTTGAAGAGGCGTCCATATAGGCAGAAGCAAAACCTAACCAAAAGTGTCATAAACTGTCACCATTTTTCTTTCCTTTCTAAAGTACATCCTGCTCCAACGTGTGTCAGTGGTGCACACAGACACACAGCTATCTGAATGATTGAAGGAAAGTTAGATTCATCACACCAGGTCACACTACTTTCCATTGTCCCAGTTCTGATGCCCATATCTCCATTGTTGATTTCAACAGCAGACAGAGGTCAGCATGGGTGTTTTGGCAGGTTTTCCATTATAAAGTCCTATAAACAAAAGAATTGCAATACACTGTGTATTCTGACATCATTATATCTGAACAATTTCTGTGTATTTGAGTTACAACAAACTAGTTATTATATCAAACCACACAGGCCTGCCTACAGTTCCTAGACACATTAAAAAGCCTTAGTTGCCCAATAATCATAATGTATCTCTGGTTCCTAACTCCTCTTATGAGCTTTTTTTGAATCTGTAAACCTGGAACATCCAATACAAGCAGCCCTTTATACAGATTCTCCAATCCAGTTGCCTAGCCCTTACAAGCCAGCCCAATTCAGTACTCATACCCACTTCTCATGATTCTACCGCACCAACAAACAGGGACCATGTTGATAAGATATTCATACCATCTATCAGTGGTTTAAACTTTATGCCTGATTGGAATCTCTGAAAGGGATAACTGAAAGACATATCATTATATAACTTCTCATTATAAGGTGTGCAGAGTATCATATTGCAAAAACAAACACACAAGGCTGTAATTCACACAAGTGAAAATAGGTGTTGCCTGCTCTGAAATGTCATGGTGTGCTGTCTATCCAGGCTGCTGCTGCTGCTGGTGTAATGATTTTTGACTCTGCTCCTTAGTACCAACACCACATTGTTTGAACTCAACAGTCTACCTGTGAATCAATGCTGACCCAGTTCCCGTTTTTTAATGGAGCAGCATAACACAACATGGCAGGAGGTTGAATTTCTATTTATTTATTTATTAATGGCAGATTGTGAAATTTAGGATGATGTTTGTAAAGATGTTGTTATAAAAATAACCTTGTTGAATCAGACCCTTTCAACATATAGTACAGGTTCTTAAAGTAATCCAAAGAACAGAAGAGTACATCAACATGTAAAAAACAGCTGGGTTTGTGACTGTCACATTTCTAGAAAGATATTGGTTTAGCATTTACATTTAAGAGCTTTTGTTTACGAAAATAACATTTTAAAATGGATGAATGAATTATCAGAGAAGTTAAGTTTAGAAAGGCTAACCTTCTAAATTTAGAGAACAGAATGAAGAATAGAAGGTAGAACAGTTTTCCAAACTAGTCAGCAGGGGGAGTCAGAGAACAGCTTAAGGTCTGAAACTGAACCTGGATAAAACTTAACCCTTTAAAGTCTGGACCATGAAATAATTCTTTGAATTTATTTTTTTATTTTTCAAATTAGAGTTGTCATTGAATTTTCTGTCCAAAAAAAAAAAACCACAAATGTTGTAAAAGTTAAATGAGATCATTTATTTGCATAATTTGCATTTCTGTATAATATATTATAGGTTTTCTGTTCACATGTGTCTGACTGTGTAAGTCAGGGTTTTCAAGAAAAAATAATATCACACGGATGATGCACAGGTCTCAAAAACTCACATATCAAATATGATACACTTGTTAAAGGGCCAGTGGTGAATTGTTGGCCTATATTCTAGATTCACTCATAATTTTGTTATTCTAATAACTTCTCACTTACTGTACTGCTGCCTCTTGGCCAGGTCTCCCTCGAAAAAGAGATTTTATCTCAAGGGACTTCCTGGTAAAATAAAGGTAAAATAAAAATAAAATAAAAAATAAAAGATGATGATAAGCAGAAGAACAGAAATTTAAGTTCAAATCTATAATGAAGGAAACAACGAATGCAGAACAGTAAGTCTAACTCTAACTCTTGTTAGAGTTGATCTTTATATATTCTTTTTTTTTTTTTATGTATCAACTTATATAGCCAATAATGCTGCCCAGGTTTGGCTTTATAAAGAGAATAAATGTTATTTCCTGCTTCCCAGAGCATGCAAATGCTTATAATGCATTTGCATGCTTGTCTATGTAATGAGTAATCTCTTCCACTAGATGGCGATATAAATCAACATATTGGTAAATTTATATAGTTTTTGTCATTAATTTGGCATATAATAATACAAAAAACTACATTTCACCAACAGATGTATTTCTTCTTAGAGCAGATTTCTGTAAGATAATTAGGTCTAATTTTGCAAAAAAGCTAATAATTTCTGTTTTAATAATGAAATCTATGTGATTGACCTAAGAAACATAAAAAGTAACTAATGCTGCAGAAAATAACTGAATAGGTTCGAGGATTTTATTTCCTTAAACTTGTATGCTGCTGCAGACAGAAAATCCCTCCAGCATCAGATCTGCTGCATCAAATACACGTGAGAGAATGCATGAAAGAGGAGGGAGAAGCTTTTTCTGCCTGAAAAGGTAAGCAATTGATAGATGAAACCTCTTTTCTTTTTATGAACAGAGTTTCAGGCTTCACCACCACCACTTCCTCTGTTGTGAAGCCAACGGGTGCAGTTTTTTACTGGAAACCAGTAGCTCTGACTAAGAACACCACAGTAGTATTGTATGGTGAGCTTGTGGCAGCCGTTAGTTGCCTAATTCAGATTGTGAGACAGTTAACCCCTAAATGGCATTTTCATGTGAACTGTTGTACATCCTCTATGTTTCTTAGGTATACGCTTAGGTAACGTCTTACTGGAAACCAGTGACTTTTAACTGTAAGCTGGTGTGGTGTGGTGGCCGAATAATATTTGCACACAGCAGGCCTGGGTGTGGTTAAAGGTGTGACTGAACAATGTCAGCTCTGCAGAAGAGTTCCACTACTGAAATCAAAGAGAGAGCCGTTGAAGGCATGAAAGTTATCCTCTTGATATTGCTTAAGCTCTGGAGCTCCTGCTCTAACTGGCCTCAAAGCAAT